AGGTTCAAATTAGAGAAGATAGTAAAGGAAGAGTCTTGTCTTTTTTCTGATTTTCCAACTTAAGGAAGGGTAGTTTTAAGTACTTACTCTCTTTTGTTGCTGTTATCATCTGTTTGTATATGTTAACACGCACACATGCACACGCACACACACACAAATATGACTACAGGAGAACAAGTTATCCACGTTTTCTCAAACTACTGCCTTTGTGAAAGAGATACCAATCACCCCCAAGTTTTCTTATTTAAAAAGCAACCACAGGCCGGGCGCGGTGGCTCACGCCTGTAATCCCAGCACTTTGGGAGGTCGAGGCAGGCAGATCACGAGGTCAGGAGATCGAGACCATCCTGGCTAACTCGGTGAAACCCTGTCTCTACTGAAAATACAAAAAAATTAGCTGGGCATAGTGGCCAGCACCTGTAGTCCCAGCTACTTGGGAGGCTGAGGCAGGAGAATGGCGTGAATCCGGGAGGCAGAGCTTGCAGTGAGTGGACGCGCTACTGCACTCCAGCCTGGGAGACAGAGTGAGACTCTGTCTCAAAAAATAAATAAATAAAAAATAAAAATAAAAAGCAACCACAATACCCACAATAAAATAAAAGTAACCTTCATGCCTGTCTACATCTACCTGCAGTATGTGGCTACATTTGAGGGTCAGAGGGTGAATAAATTTATGAATTCAAAGAGTTACTGTGGGCTTGCTACGTGCTAGGCACTATTCTACGTGCTCTCGCATAAAAATATAAATCACAGCTGGGCACAGTGGCTCACACTTGTAATCCCAGCAATTTGGAAGAGGGAGGTGGGTGGACTACTTGAGGTCAAGAGTTCGAGACCAGCCTAGCCAACATGGTGAAATCTCATCTCTATTGAAAATACGAAAATTAGCCGGGCATGGTGGCACATGCATATAGTCCCAGCTACTCAGGAGGCTGAGGCAGGAGAATCGCTTGGACCTGGGAGGCAGAGGTTGCAGTGAGCCGAGATTGCATCACTGCACTCCAGCCTGGGCGACAGAGTGTGACTTTGTCTCAATGACAAAAAATATATATATTATATATATACTTAAATATTATATACTTATGTATTATACACATTATATATGTTTATATAATATATAAATGGGGTGGGTGGGGAAAAATATATATAAATGACTTTGTCCTTTAGGTGTTTGAAAGAAGATATCAGATTCATATATAAATAATTAAATAACTATAATAAGATAGAGTTTAGTAAATGTCATATAAGGGTGAGAAAACAAAGAATTCAAAAAACACTAGATTACTTCTGGCTATAGTAAAAGATGAGGGGGCAGAGAATACTACATAGCATAGGTGGTATTTGAGTGAGCCTTAAAGGGTTTGGACATGAAAGGATGGAGAAGAAGGGGTTTCCATGAAGGAGAAACAATGCAAGCAGACATGAAAAAGAGATCTCATTGGATATGATTACAGAAATATTAGTATTAAATTTTCCTCTAGTGGCCACTCTTGAAAGGAGATAAGTATGACAATAAGCACAGAAAAGTCAGTTGGAGTGAGATTAGTAGACAGTGATTTAATAGTCACCAGAAATTGCTGAGCAGAGTAGTAATGTGATCAGAATTTCTTTTAGGAAGATCAATTTGGCAGTAGCGTATATGCTCAATTGTAGGAAAAAGAGATCGGAAGCAGTAAAAACATTTTAGATGTCCATTTTAATATCTCAATTTAAAGACATTGAGACAATGAAGACCAAAACTGGGTGATGGCAACTAATGCAGTGGATTTTGTGCTGAAAAAAGGATAAATGTGAGAGAGATTGTGGCAAACAGAATTGGTAGAATTTGATAACTGATTGAATGTAGGAATGTAGGGAAGCCAGAACAAAGAACAGATCTGGGGAGTTAGGACAATCCAGGAGGTGAATGCCAATATGTAATTCACTGGAATTTGAGGAGCCATCTGCATATAGCTAATATCAACACCACAGAATTTGCTAAGGAAGAATCTAGAGAAAGAGAAGAGGGTAAAAGTTATAACCTGGGAAAATGCTTATACTCAGGAAAGAGTGAAGTAAACAAGAGGCAAAAGAGAAGCCAGATAAATAAGAAAAGATACAAGAGGACGAGAGTAAGAAAAATATACTGTAGAGAAGACCAGGGAGTTTCATAGAAATGATAAACAGGCTGAAATGTTAATAACAAGTTCAAAATGAGTAAGAATTTAGAAAAGACCACTGGAATTTGTTAATGAATAAATCCTTACCAGTGATCTTAGGGAGTAATTTCAATAGGAAAAAAGATGATTTATAGTATACCTTATTGTACTACAATATGCTCTGTATTAAAGCTATTTGAATATGAACAATATGAATTAGATAGTACGTGTAATTCACCTCTTCATCCTCCATGGTTCCTTGGACAAATAGAAAGTGCTCAATAAACATTTATTGAATTAAATTGGGTCAAATCAAGTTAAATTGAATTGGATTATATTGCATTACATTATATTACTCTACCATAAGAGGTGATAATGAAGAGTGAGAAAGGCAACACACACAGAGGATTATTTTTATAACATGGGGTTAATGGTAATAAGAGAAAAATGATAGGAAAAGAAGAGTCAAGATGAGTTTTGTTCATTTAAAACTATTAGAGATTTGCACCTGCTTCTGGTTGCAGGAAAAGACTCTGGTTCTTTGGGAGAATTTGAAGGCGAGAGAGGGGAATAGTGAGGGTACAGAGACCCTAGGGAGAGTGATCTAGGTGATGGTGATACATATATAAAAACTGATCAAGGTGGTACAGTTAAGGCTTCTGAATTTGTGTATTTTATGTAAGTTATACCCCGATAAAAATAAATTAAAAACAATAATAAATACATCAAGAAGGATTGACTTGAGGGCACAAGTGGAGGTTCTTAAATTTTCTCTGAATTAACCAGGAAACAATTGCTCATCAAATCCTGTAACTGTGCTTCTTCAATCTTAAAGGAAATTATTTTTAAAATAAATAAAAGTGGTATGTCATGTATATGAATCTTTCTTCTACAACTGAATAAATAGACTATGGATTGCACTTTTTATTCTGCAAGTAGTGCCAATCTCATATCTAGATAACTTTGGTGACTACTACTACATATGTAGCAAATGTAGATCTCAGCTACTCACCCACCATTCCTCTCCCAAGTCAAGAAACTGTTCAGTACTGTGTTACGTCTATAGATATATATTAGGTGCTGATTAAACACTTTTAGAATAATGAACATATGTAGGCCAAAGTAAGCTATAAACCACTGTTTACTAAAGAGAATTCCTTGAAACACTAGGTCCACAAAATATCCAGAAAAAATATTCCATAGTCACATTAGTTTGGGAAACACTACATACTACAACCTTCTGCGGAGATTTTATAGTTCATATTAGCATATTTAAGGCTATAAGAAGTCATGCAGTAAGGGAACATTTTTAGCTTTGCTCAGCCTAACAGTTTCCAAACTTGTTTGACCACAAGAGCTTTATTTTCCCTCATAACTCATTATATTTTATAGTTTTGAACAGAATGCCCTTTGAGAAATGCTCTTTTAGACAAATGACAGGTCCATAGAAAATAATTGAGCAGTGGATATCTACAATCCATTTCTAGCTTATCAGGATAATGTTATAGGGGACAACTATAACATTATACCATGTTGTATCTCTTGGTGCTATGTTCAGGGACTTAAAAGATACTGAACTGAGTGAACCAATAGTCTAACTCATGAAAATATTAGATTCGTAGGAAGGAAACTACAAAAAGATGTTAAAGAAGAGAAATAGATGGCAAAAGAGCTGAAAAGAGACACTCATAAAGATCCTAAAGGAGATGGGATGGCTCAATCTGGAGAAGAGATGGGAGAAAGTATCAAATAACCACATTAAAAGCATCTAAAATTCGATTTTTTTTTTTTTTTTTTTGAGACAGAGTCTTCTTCTGTTGCCCAGGCTGGAGTGCAGTGGCGCGATCTTGGCTCGCTGCAACCTCTGCCTCCCAAGTTCAAGCAATTTTCCTGCCTCAGTCTCCCAAGTAGCTGGGATTACAGGCGCCCTCCATCATGCCTGGCTAATTTTTGTCTTTTTAGTAGAGACAGGGTTTCACCATGTTAGCCAGGCTAGTCTCAAACTCCTGACCTCAGGCAATCCGCCTGCCTCGACCTCCCAAAGTGCTGGGATTACAGGAGTAAGCTACCGCGCCCGGCCTAACGCGATTTATGGAAAAAAAAAAATATTTAATCTCTGGTCTTTATAAGGTGATTTTGGCCTTCAGTACTCCCATCAGTGGCATGACTGAGAAGTGACTGCCAGGCAGTAGAAGCAGGGCCCCATGGGAGTTGTGGGAGCGAATGGGACTATGTTGAACGTACAAATATAATACTCCTCCCTTCAGTCTATGTGCACCTCTAGCATCATTTAGGCCAACCATGAACATAACATGGTGCTTCCAACATCCCTTCGCTCTCCTCTCCTTCCCAGCAACAAGATGATGAGAGCTCTCATCTGAATTCCATTCTTCATACCTGTTCCTCAGGTATGAGCTCTTAGCCAAGAGCTGTTAGCTCATACCTGAGGAACAGGTATGGAAAAATGTAACTCAGATAATAAGAGCTTCCCCACTTTTTTTTTTTTTTTTTTTCAGAGATGTGTTCTTGCTATGTTGCCCAGGCTGGAGTGCAGTGGCCATTCACTGGCACAATTACAGGTGCCCGATAACCTTGAACTCCTGGGCCCAAGCAATCCTCCTGCTTCAGTCTCCCAAGTAGTTGGGGCTACAGGCACATGCCATCATGTCCAGCTCTACCCACTTACATTCTCACAGTCTGTGTTCTGGTTTCTCTCAGGCCTTTCTGATCTTGGCCTATATATTAGGTGAAATCCTATGAGAGATTTATTGGAAGTCTTGGCCAAAGTAAAGGATCGATTTGGACCAAGGCAGAAAGAGTGGACTAGGGAAATAAGTGCATATAAAGAGACCAGGCTGTCACAAACATGGGGTGAGGGTGAGTGGGAGACAGTAGGTAGGACTCTTGGACACAAAATTACCTTTCATTCCATAATAGGAAAAGCGCTCGCAGAATTCATTCACCACAATGAAGGCAATGCTCAGTGGATAGTTGGAGCCACAGATTTTCTATTCAACAAGAAAGCAACGATTCAAGCATGAGCTGTTTTCCCCTGTTTCAACAATTAGATTTCTTCACAACTGAAAAATTCATTTATTTCAAATTGTCATGGTAGGTAATGGATCAATGGTCTCTAGTCTTCATGACACACCTATTATAACACTAAAAGTGCTTACGTTACTGATTTAGAAATAATAGAAGCTAATCTGAATATTATTTTGTTTCTTGTTTATTTTACATGGACTTGCTCAAATATTCCTTGATCCTAGACATCAGGACCTGCTCATCTTCCCACAACTACTAAATGAAAAGCCTAGGGCTCTGGGGCAGAAGAATGGTCATATTTACTTCCTAGGAACAGAATAAAGAGATAGCCTATGGAATACCTGATATCCAAGCAGTGAGATTCAGATGTCAGTCTCTGCTTAGCTCCACTCTGGGGACTGACCCCTCTTGTCCCCAGCTGTTCTGTTTGCCATGCTGGGAGGAATCCTGGCAATATGATAGCTTCTACTTCAGAGGCTGCTGGAGTCAGGCACAGAGCCCAACATGGAGGGCAGAGATTCCTAAGGGTAAGCTAATTGATCATCTTGACTTTAGGCAGAGTTCTTAAATCCTGTAAAATTAAATGTCTACTCTTCCTACTAAAGAGATTCTATAACATTTTCATGATAATCCTACTGGACATTAAAAGAATTATGTTTTTTCACGTAATATATCAGTCAGACTATAAGGAATGTTATGTTTTATTTTAATTCCCTATCTATTACAATAGACCAACTAACATGAGAAGAGACATAGAGGTATCTGTCCTCGGTACTGTCAAATCTTATAAGATTTATATTGCCTCATTTCGTGAGAAATATATACATCTTCATAAGTAGCCCTAAATTCTTTGGGACCAGAAGAGATATCTTTAACTAAAAAAAATAGGCAAAATAATAAAGTAATGTATTATTCTTTTAACCCTAGGGATATATATAAACGACTCTCCTAAATATTAATATATTTTAACGTTTTAAAATAACTTGTTTGAAACATACAGTGAACTGGGCTTCTTACCTTTGCAGCTCACAGCTTGAGAATTATGCAATCTGGAGTTTAGCTGACACACTGTCACTAGTTAGGCAACACTGCCACTGGCTATGTTAACATACTGATACTGGCATTGTCACTACACCTGTCTCAAATCCTCTGTTCTGTTATTCTGAAGAAATGAGAATAACATCACCTTTTGGCCCACAGTAAGAACTCAGTAAATTTTGGCGATCATTACTATATCCTCCCCACTTACAGAATTTTAATGTAAGAATTGACTGAGATGATGAGTTTAGAAGTGCTTTAGCAAGTTTATAAATGCAAAACATTGCCATTACTTCTCTGTTTTTCTGCCCTATCTCCCACAATAAACTGGGAACACATAGTAACAGAGATTGGATCTATTCTGAAACTTCCATTAGTGTTCAACAGAAGGCTCTGCACATAGGGAGAACTAAGAGCAGAGTTTTTATATTGGTAAAGAAAGAACAATCACACATAGTTCTCCAGACAAGAATGCTTGCCAAGTTTCCCTGGACATTCAAATTGCTTTTTCCCCCCAGGGAAACAGAATATGCAATGAAATTCATCAAGTCCCTGGATCCCAACTGAAGAAATTTGACTACCTCTTCCTGCTGCTTTGTCTTCTTATGTAAAGGAAGCTTCTGTTTAGATTTGGTTTCAGGTGAATTCTAAATCCAAGAGAGAATCATTTTAATACCCTAATACAGCTCAGCTTGAAGCTCCGGAGCCCAAGGAAGAGAGCCAAAAGAGGGAGGCCATTCCTGTCAGAGGCAGGATTGAATCTAAGGACTCACCGGAGATGGCTTCTTTGGAGGGCTGGGAGGTCGAGGTGGTACGTCTTCAATGGAGACAGGTGAAAAAAGAGTTTCCTTGGACTCATTTTTCTGGAAAGAATTCATGGCTGGCTCCTTTCTCTCTCTCCTCAAGCATTTGGCTTTAGTAGGCAGTTAGGACAGCTGCCAGCCTACTCTGAAAAGGAGGACTGGGAGGGGGAGCTGGTGGCTTCAGCAACTGAGTTTAACTCTGTGGGTGTCAGCTTCAATCGCTTCCTGATCCAGAGCAAAGCAGGAAGCTATAGTTAAAAAGAATGTGTAAAAGTACAGCACAGCAAAGTGAAAACATGCCAAAGATGGAATGAAACAATGCTAGAGAACTGATTAGAAAATCTATGTTTAAGAAATATTATCTTTGCAAAGGAGTACAAGATAGTTAAGAACACAACACCTCAAGCACAGATTGAAAAACTGATATCAAGGTCGGGCGCGGTGGTTCACGCCTGTAATCCCAGCACTTTGGAAGGCCCAGGCAGGCGGATCATTTTAGGTCAGGAATTCAAGACTAGCCTGGCCAATATGGTGAAACCCCGTCTCTACTAAAAATACAAAAAAACCATTAGCCGGGTGTGGTGGCAGGCACCTGTAATCCCAGCTACTCCGGAGGCTGAGGCCGGAGGATCACTTGAACCCAGGAGGCGGAGGTTGCAGTGAGCTGAGATCGCACCATTGCACTCCAGTCTGGGCAACAAGAGTGAGACTCCATTTCAAAAAAAAGAAAAAAAAAAAAAAAAAAAAAAAAAAAAAGAAAGAAAAAAAAGAAAGAAAAACTGATTTCAGGGTAACAATAGCTGTAATTTATTGAATATCTACTATTGAAAGGTTAATATATATGAATTACATATATGTTGTATGTCTATATAACATGTATATTTATCCTAATTCATATTACTATCTCCATTTTACAGAAAGTAATGTTCCCAGAGGTTAAGGAATTTGTTCAAAGTACCTGTCCAGTAAGTGGCAGATCTGTAATTTTCACTATGCCATGACAGCTGGAAAAAGTGGAGTTAGTATCAGTCATTATTCAGGTATGGAGGTTACATAAATGGAATGTAGGAATGCAGAGGATTAAAATGAATTGAAGAAGGAAAGCCGTCATAAAACTGAATTTGGGAGATAAGAAAGATGGTGAGTTTTGGCTGGGTGTGGTGGCTCATACCTGTAATCCCAGCACTTTGGGAGGCTGAGGTGGGTGGATCACAAGGTCATGAGTTCAAGATTAGCCTGGCCAACATAGTGAAACCCCATCTCTACTAAAAATACAAAAATTAGCTGGGTGTGGTGGCACACACTTGTAGTCCCAGCTACTCCAGAGGCTGAGGCAGGAGAATCGCTTGAACCCAGGAGGCAGAGGTTGCAGTGAGCCGAGACCCCACCACCGCACCCCAGCCTGGGTGACAGAGTGAGACTCGAAAGAAAAGAAAAGAAGGAAGGAAGGAAGGAAGACAAGACAAGAAAAGAAAAGAGAAGAAAAGAAAGGAAGGTGACCTTTGTTTTCAGCATCATAAAACTTCAGCTAGAAATAGCCTATAGGCAATTAAAGAGGCGGGGCTAAAGAAAATGAGAGAAAAGGATTGGTGATATACATTTGGGAACCATTTTTCTTCTTTGCTAAAGTCATTCCTTGCATTTTCATTTTCTCACTTCAAGATTGATCTATTCTTTCATTTAACAAATAAAATTTAATTTGAGCAAAAATTGTGAACCAGTTATTTTCTAGGTACTGTTGTGAACACCATTTTCCTTAATTATATATTTAGTCCTTATCAGAAGAGGAACAAAAACAAACATGATAATGCTAGGTTCATTTTATGCCGTGTTATTTTTGTTAAGCCAAAGAAGTAAAAGAATAACAAAAGAGCATGGTGTCCCTCTAGTTGTTTGTCAAACGAAAAGGGAAAAGAAAGACTAGAGAGCTATAAAAGAAATAAGAAAAATTGAAGACTAAATAAACAAGGTCAGGCAACATCAGAATGAATTATTGTATTTGAAAATACAAGACAGAAAACCTATAACTATATCCCTCACAAAATTTTTACATTAACTATTTGAATAATTTATTGACAAATAGGGCCAGGATAAACTCTATCTTTTCCTCTCTAAACTTTAACTCAGACTTTGACCATATCTTCTCAGCTTCTATTACACTCCTCGTTTCTACTGTCTCCCACCAACCTTTACCCAAAGAAGAGTCCAGCTTCATTTCTGACTGTGGCATTAATGATTAAGCTATAGTTATTCTTTCAGGAGCACTGCCATTTCTGACTTGGTTTGGTTAATGACTTTGGATGCAAAATAAATGGTCAGAAGTTACTAGTCAAGTTAACTAGCAAAGGCACAGATGCCTTGAAGATCCTCTTATGTCATTGGCTTTCCTTGATCTGGCAGAGTAGATTGAATAGCACCTGTATGCAACGTATCAATTTATTTGTGCTCATAGGTACACCAAATACTAAACTTTGGAGTATTGACAGTGGTTTTCTGACACTCCTTTGTTTAGAGAAAATTCTTCTTTTGATTATGGCAATACAATGATAGTATTCACAGAGTCAGATAATATCAGAGATGGAAGGAATCTTAATCTCGTCCTGTGTAAGTGAAACTTCCCTGAGGATAAGAATCATTTTCCCTTGGAAATTCTAATTCAGTAGATCTCAGTAGGGATCTAAGAATGTTTGTTTTCAACGAGCACCTCTAGCAATTCTTATGCTAGGAATTTGGGAAACACTGGTCTTAAATTCTCTCCTATTCTAGCCTGAAGGATATTTCAGAAGAACTCAGAAGGGACAAAGCAAGGACTGGAATCCTAGGCTCCCAAGGCATAATCTTGAGCCATTTATGTAATAGTAAGATGGCTCTTATATCCTATTATTTTGCTAACATCAGATAGAAGGAGAAAGGGAAAAGATAAAAGAGAAAGCACCTCCCAGACAGAAATGAGCACCAACTATTCTGAGACAAACAACAATAAAAGTGAAAGAATCTAAGTATCAGTGATGAGTAAAGAATATTTGTGTCCTTAGTGATTACGACATCAGAAAACACTTATTATGACATATGATAAAGTTTTACAGTTATATATACATAAAAGTAGACTGCTGCTCTAAGTTAATAGAATCTAATATAGTCAGAGAGAAGAGGAAAATATGAAATTAAAAGGGAACATATATTTAACACGTTCTCTAAATTAAAATACACAAAAATAAATTGTATCAAACATCAGTCACAAAGAAATAGAAAAGGGAAATTTAAGGAATATATTTATATATTTATTTATATAAATAGATTTAGGAATAAATCTAACAAAAGATCTAGAACTCAATATTAAAAATTATAAAATTTGACTGAAAGAAATTGAAGAAGATCTAAATAAATGGAAACATACCATGCTTATGATTTGGAAAGCTCATATTATAAAGATGTCAACATTTCTCAAAGCATTCTACAGTTCTAAAACAAAATTCCAGCAGGTTTTGTGAGTATAGAAATTGACAAGTTGACTTTTTAAAGTCAACTTGAAAGTGCAAAGAGCCAAGGATAGCAAAGTCAATCTTAAAGAATAACGGTGTAGGATTGAATTACCCAATCTAAGACCTATTTTAAAGCTATAGTTGTTATATCAGAGGGGAATTGACACAGATACATAGGGCAGCCAACGAACACAGAGTTCAGAAAATGACTCACACACATACTGTTTATAACAAAGATGATGCTGCAATACAATGTAGGAAATGAGGATCATTTCAATAAATAAACACCATTTGAATATCCACATCCCCCAAATTATTTTGACCCTTATTTTACAACATACACAAAAATAATTTCTATATAGATTGCCTATCTAAATGTTCAAGTAAAAAAAAAAGTCTTTAGAGGAAAACATAAGAGAATATCTATATGACTGTGGAGTAAGTCAGCATTTCTTTTGTTTCTTTTTCTTTTCTTTTCTTTTCTTTTTTTTTCTGAGATGGAGTCTCTGCTCTGTCGCCCAGGCTGGAATGCAGTGGCACGATCTCACTGCAACCTTTACCTCCCGGATTCAAGCGGTTCTTTCTCCTGCCTCAGCCTCCTAAGTGTCAGGCCTCTGAGCCCAAGTCAAGCCATCGCATCCCCTGTGACTTGCCTGTATATGCCCAGATGGCCTGAAGTAACTGAAGAATCACAAAAGTGAAAATGCCCTGCCTCGCCTTAACTGATGACATTCCACCACAAAAGAAGTGAAAATGGCTGGACCTGGCCTTAAGTGATGACATTATCTTGTGCCTGGCTCATCCTGGCTCAAAAAGCTCCCCCACTGAGCACCTTGTGACCCCCACTCCTGCCCGCCAGAGAACCCCCCTTTGACTGGAATTTTCCTTTACCTACCCAAATCCTATAAAACGGCCCCACCCTTATCTCCCTTCGCTGACTCTCTTTTCAGACTCAGCCCGCCTGCACCCAGGTGAATAAACAGCCATGTTGCTCACACAAAGCCTGTTTGGTGGTCTCTTCACATGGACGCGCATGACACTGAGTAGCTGAGATTACCGGCACGCACCACCATGCCCGGCTAATTTTTGTATTTTTAGTAGAGACAGGGTTTCAACACATTGGTCAGGCTGGTCTCGAACTCCTGACCTCATGATCCGCCTACCTTGGCCTCCCAAAGTGCTGGGATTACAGGCGTGAGCCACAACACCTGGCCAGCATTTCTTAAAAAAGATATAAAATATGGGGCATAAAAGAAAAAACAATGATATGTTGGACAATATTAAAATTAAGAACTTTTGTTGTTCAAATTGTCAAAAGACAATTTACAAAGAAGAAGAAAATATTTGTGTTACCTGTATCTGTCAAAGGATTTGTGTCCAGATTATATAAGTAACTGCAGAAAGCAACAACAAAACGATTAATAAGTAAATGGAAAAATATTCAAAAGATCTGAACAGCCGACATGGTGGCTCACACCTGTAATCTCAGCAGTTTGGGAGGCTGAGAAGGGTGGATCACCTGAGGTCAGGAGTTTGAGACCAGCGTGGCCAAACATGGTGAAACCCCATCTCTACTAAAAATACAAAAAATTAGCTGGGTGTGGTGGCGGGTGCCTG